CCGTCATCCCCCTTGTGTGAGCTTTCTTAGGGGTACACATGCAAAATCGCGCTTGCAGTGTTTCAATTTGGCCCCTGCATTACTCCAGTGCACTCACTACAGGGACGTTTTTAAGTTGCATAGTAGATTCCCTGATCTATGAATCGCCAAACCGAATTCTTAGATGATTTTTCGGTCGCAAAAAAATACTTAGGCAGAATTCTAATACTGACTATCGTACAGCCTTAACTCAAGATACTTCAATCTCGTCAGGATGCCGGTTTTTTGAATTAGTCTCTGCAAAAAGTATATTCTGCAGGAGAGGACCACCTAAGTAGTGTATATTTTTCTCATTGTTTTTTAATGCAAATATACTTACAGAAAACATGTACAAAATATTTCTTTTTTGTGCTCATTTCATAGCAGAATACGCGCTCATCAAAATGTATGCCTGAAGAAATGGTATCTTTTGGTTTTAAAAATGTTTGTAATTATGAGATTTTCAATGCTTGCTAGATGTCCGTGCAGAATATATCGTATCCGTTAATTTTGTGATAAGGCCAATAAATCAGATGCCTGAGAAGAAGACGACTCGATCGCTGTGACAACACTTTTATTCGCCTGACGTTTTGAGATCCGCTGAAAATTCATCGTCAGAGACATAAGCAGAAAGCAGTAGCAGATACGTATCTGCTAAAGTATACGACCTTATCCACATCCATGGTAAGATGTTATGAGAACTTTGTGACCCCCTCATCATACCGAAGGGAAATATGTACTTTTCCCTAGACAAATTTATACAGCACGTCAACTGGAAACCTAAAATACAAGTGTATCAGCTGGTGCGCTTCAAATTTATTCGGCAATTTTGAAACCCAAATATACTTTCTCTTCAAGCATGGAATTTGAAAAATGCTTACTTTTTCCACCAAAGGAACACAAGAAAGCTATTGTTGTAGATTTTTTTATTAAATATATTTGAATTTAAAAGGGCAGTTAAAACCAATCATTAAAGTGCATACTTCTTGAGTACCCATTTTTACAGCGTATGTTTCTGCAGGTGGGCATAAGGAAAATGGGGCCGCTCATACGTGCGTACACTTTTTGCCTGCAGCTAGCAGCCACACTGTACAAGACCAAGGATAGGCGCTTCTGGTGAGGTTACACACTAAACCAGATGGTCAGTTGTACTGCTCAATACGCAATTCTTGTAGGCAATGCCCACATTTCTAGTTGCTATCCTGTAAACGGTTCGGTCCAGCCGCACGCGGCTCTTGTTCCGCTTCTTGCTTGTTGGAAGTCGATTCAACCCATTGGCACATAGGTATACGCCCTTCATATCAAGTTCGTGATTTCATCACCTAAGCCGGACTAAATCCTAATTGCGACGTACGGTGTCAAATACCCATCTCAGCCACTATATGACACGTCTGAAAAGCTCTACTTGACAGGTCGATGGAAACAGTTTTGACCCTTTGGTGATGGAAAGGACAGCAAACAGATGATCATCGGAGACTCCTTAAAATGCCCGCTTTGAAAGTAGCTAGATGAGATACGACAATAACCACTGGTTAGAAAGCTAAAATTTGACGACCCCAAACAGCCTATTAGGACGGGAAAAGGAACCGCCAGAGGACCAAATGAGATATATGGACGCTCTATAATCGCATTCTGTTGTTGACCATTAATAGGCAGAAAGTTTAAAAGACTATCACGAGATGCATACATACTAGATAAATGTATGCAGAACCGATATTATACATGGAATACAGTATGAGTAAATCTGACGGAACCTACCGGAAACGATGGATGTGCCATCCTTCATTATATCAATTGTATAGCAGACCATGTTGGGAATATTGATACGCAGAAGTTCCTGTTGTGTGGGCGTGTTGAATACACGTATATCCTCAAAGGAGCAGGTCACAAACAAATCGGCGCAGTTGCTAAAACCATAAAACGTCAACAATAAAAGGAAGTCTGATATACCTACAAGAAGTATAAAGTTCTAAAAATCCAGCAATCCCTACTGACGCACGAGAGCCATGTTGATCGGGCAAAATAGATACAGTTTTTTAGCCAAATAGAAAGCAATTACAATATGCAGCATGGACTGAAAACGCGCTAGACTGAAACTCAAAATCTAGTTCTGTTAGCCTATGAACACCGCGCCGGCAGTAGTCGGAGCATTACTAATCGAAGCTGAAAAAACACGATCTATCCGCTCAAATGATAGAGCATCCGTCTCAACAGTAATTCCATACTGGTTTTAGGACTTTGGTTTGTTTGCCATTATACTGGACTAACTGCAGAATATAAGTGACAGGTCTTCACTTAAGTCTTCCTCAGTTTTTTTGCTTATAAGTTCCCACGAACTAAAACTACAACCAGTATCGAAATGCAACAGCAAGTCCTAAATAACGTCAAATCTTAATAGCTATAGCAGTTTCATAATCAGTCAACAAAAAAACAATACGTTCACGGCAATTTACGAAGGCCACGCACGCGCGCTGACTTTCAGTGAGTTAACAGGGTTGTATGGAAAATTGGTTAGTTTTAATAGTTCACTCGTTTGGTCATATTTCTAAATGAATAATTATTTAACGATACTACAAGACGTTACTTATACACAAGGAGATGGGACAGAAAAATTAAAAATAACAAATACGACAAACAGCTGCTTCTTTGCTATTTTGTAGTAACCAATTTAGCGTTAAATTAGGTCGTTGTGCTTGAAGTGGGGCCTTCAAATTGAGTAACACTTTGATTCAAAACAATTTAAAGAAGCGGCATTATAAAAGTCAGCCAAGATCCATAGATACCATAATCCCTTGCCAAATAACAACACCTAACAGTTAATCTGCGTGCTTTTAACATGCAAGTCGTATACCAAGAAACGTATGCTTACTTTGCAAATTTGACATCGTTAACGGCCGAACTGTGGCAGGTTTTCACGAGCTCGTGGGAGAAATCAGAAAAGTTGAAGCGGTACACATGACTTTTGTCCGTTGCTACGAAAAACTGATGACCTTCGCCACGCAAGGAGATGCTTGTTACTGCACCCATAACTTTTTGCGTGTGTCTAAAATTCCATGAGATTAAAATTCATAATTGGCAATACAAATAATCTAGGCAAGAACAGCAAATAAGCGCCAACTGTGGCGTCCAGATTAGTATTCTTATTTCAGCCTTTCTTCTATTTGGATAAACGACAAGTTCAGAAAAAAAGAAAAACATTCATCGGTAAATATAAAGAAATGAGCTGATACTTCTGCCCAATTCCATATAATGGGCAGTTTCGGGTTGAGTTATTTTCAGAATATCAAAATTCGCCATCTTCTGTAAAAGCCAGTGAGCATCTTAAGTTCCTAAACAGCGTCCACTCATAGGATGCACGGAATAAGGACTTTTATTAGTTGAAAGCAGACTGGCTAGGGTAGACACTTAAATGTCGGTTCCAGTACGTCCGCTCAAATATTTTGCGGTTTTAGACGTAGAATTAGTGTGCAGGAAAAGTTTTTGAAGATTTTGATTTCAGGAATGTGATTAAATTTGGAAAATAAATTTTCGTTAAATCAATCAGAACACGTTACATTAACAGCCTACAAAGAGGAACTTGCATATCCACAAAGCATTTTGAACAACAAAATTATGCAGTTCACTGCGAGACCAAACAGTCGTGCGAGCAATCAGAATTTTTTTTATCCGAAAATAGAAAGCAGGGTTTTCTAGCAAACCTGCATTATTGCCGCAATAGTAACAAGAAACTATTCGTCTCGGGGGGAGATGCTCTTATCCAGCCGTTCCCTTTGGCTCGCAAATTTGATAGTGAAAACGCGAATTTCCCGACGTGCTACGAATTTATTATATTTCGCCTCAAAAACTTAAAGCACGCTTCAAAATAAAGAGTCACGTCTAACTTGCTGTCGCGACTACAGAATTATGTGGCAAAACTATATGTAAGCAACATAAACCCTTATAATTTTCACGGGCTTTCGTTGCTCTCAGCATGCACAAATAAACAACGGTTCCAGTTGGCTAACTTAGAGCAACAACGCATATGCACTGCACTTATTTTTTACGCCTTATAAAATTGCATCTATAATACAATCGGCTTTTAGATCGAAGTGTTAAAAAGGGTTGTGATTTCGTGATAAGTTGATAGGTGTCAAAAAAACAGAAATAAACGATATCGCATTTTAAAATCTAGCAATCATTATAAAAAACATTTAAGCTTAAATGGGAGAAGTGCGTCATGTTTATTAAGCTAAATCTGTATTACTATAAAAATAGTAATGCAGTTGCAACAAAAAATAAGCAATATTCGCAGTTAGAATTCACTGTCCCAGTAAAAGCAAAAAAAATAAGTTCACTCACTCGGACCGATGTAGGGACATAACACAGTTTCCTTTCATAGTTTTGTAGGAAATATTGAAAAGTTGAACCGTTCCATCTCCAGCTCCGAAAATGATTGAACTTTCATCGACCAGATAAATTGAACTTATTCCAAGACTGAACTTGTCTTTTTCAGGAGCTACTAACTGTAATATCGCAGACTCCACATTGACAACTAAGACGTCACCAGAGAGCGTTCCACAAAATATTTTATCGTCGGTTTTGTTGGGCTAAATTCAGATATTAAAACATTTAAGCTGATATAAATTTATGGCAGTTTGAATTTCTCCTACAGTAATCATGTAGAAATATTTTTACTGATTCGCCAATAATATGAGCACCTATATGATAATATAAGTCGTGTACAGGATCAACACTTTTAACTAACAATTGCCGGAAATTGAATGTTAAGATAGAACATAAAAGCCCTCATCGGTTATGTTGTTTGTGGATTTCCGTACCCAATATGAAATCATGTATACTATAAACCGTTCCATTAATAGCATCTCGAATGGTAAAAATAAGTATTCAAAAGCAGAACAGCAGCCTGACCAAAATCACATGAGCATGAACGCAAATAATTTTGATACATTATACATAATAAACGTAGTGATCATTTCACCTTTCATTTTCATATGATTAGAACTAAAATTTGCAAATTATTTACTTGTTCATGATATCCGAATTCAAAATAATTAGTACGTAATTGTGTAACGGAAAACTTACTACAATATAAGTAACAGTTCGCTTATACTTGTTAAGATTGCAGTCAGTTGGAATAATCTTTCGTCTTGCGACTTCTGCTTTCCATATTCTCACATTATTTCTACACACACAAATATAACACTCATATTATGACATACTCGCCGCCGGTGAAAAACATATCTTCCCTTGATTTGGCAAAAGCTAGACATCGAGTGATTCCGGCGCAGGTTGGCTGGGCAGGGCTACCGCAGATAGATGTCTTTCGAGTGAGCGACCAGAGAACGACACTAAAAGAGTAAATGGGCAAATTCTTAACCTTCCATCGTCTTGACCCCCAAGCGTCACCAGATAATCCCCTTTAGGTGAAAAGGCTAGGGCCTGTACTTTCACTTTGTGCAAGATGAACTTCGCAATTTCTTTTTTCTCGGCGTAAGACCACACGAGAACATCTGCCTAAATACCTTTTTATGAAAAAAATAACCAGCAATACCTTATAACCCATATGCGTTATTTGTCCAGAAGCGATGTACCTTCCATCGTCAGAAACTGCCAAGCAAATTACAAAACTTGTGTGGCCATGAAGAAAAGTCTGAACACGTGTATTCATATCTTCGATCACGACTGTACATCCTAGGGCGTATATGCAGTTTGTGCGATCAGGGTGAATTATCAAGCCATTTACTACGGAGCCTAGTAATAAAATGTAAGTCGTTAATAAGAAAATAAAACCATTAAATCCTATTACACCTTGTAACGATAATTTTTCATATCCGATATCTTCAGCACTCGCTTTACTAGACATGTTTATTTCGGCTAAGCGTCAAACCACGCGATTAACTCGCATTGCTCAGGTTACCTAATGTATAGTTATTCAGTCGCCTACATTATTCTCACGCCAGTGTCGCAAGAGATGTAAAATAGAGAATCTATTTTTGGGGAAGAATGTTTTTTAGGTAGGATCAAAAGAAGTGTTAGGCTGTCAACGTGTGTAAATTACGATGTGACAGTAGCAATGAACTAATAATGGGAAAGACCCTAATAGCAATTTGTAGACCTGTGGTCCTGTAAACTCATGCACACACAATATCTCACTTTAATTGGCTGAAACATATGCGCAATGATAGGTCAGTCTGCCTGAATGTGAATGCCTGCAATTTGATTGGCTACTCCAACTGTTTTCGCTAGCGGCAACTTTGGACTGCATTCTGTCGTATCGCACGTGCGCTGCTGGACGCGTAAGCGTGCTCTCTATGCTGTGCTTTATCTGTGGTATAAATTCTGATATGCTACATTTGTTTTGTAGTATGTGGAAACCTACACGAAGGAGTACCCTTTGGAGACAATCTAAACGCGATTATCATACATTAATTTCAATTTTGGCCAGCAGGTTAGTTTCCCTTTTT